GTGAATGAAGGCTTAATTAAAAAAGTTAGTTAAATTTAAACTATATTTATTAATAATTTAAAATTATTCTTATGTCCATCTCTTGCTAGTGTCAATGAAGATATTTTTCATAGAGTCTTAGATATCTCAGATCCTATCATTTCCAGTATTAATTTACTTCAGAATTCAGAATCATCGTAAGTTCCCTACTCGTTCTGAAGTATTTAGTTTACTAACAGAAATGCCATCCAATACCTCGCAACATCATCATAGCGAAAGCAAAGAAGGTAGAGAAAGTAATGACGACTACGACGATGAAGTTGCTGATGAGGACTTAATTTCTGTTAACTATTTAGATTTCATTTATTGGATAGTAAAATATAGTTGAAATTTAACTGATTTTTTGAATATGAATTCATGTAATGATATTTCTTTACAATAGATTTGAATAAAATATAACTTTATATTAAAAATATCTATATATTGAATATATATATATATATATATATATATATATATATATATATATATATATATATATATATATATACTAGATGTATTAAATATATATACTAAATGTATTATATATATATATATATATATATATATATATATATATATATATATATATATATATATATATATATATATATACTAGATGTATTAAATATATATACTAAATGTATTAAATATATATACTAAATGTATTATATATATATATATATATATATATATATATATATATATATATATATATATATATATATATATATATATATATATATATATATATAAAGTTTAGTTGTAACACATTTAGAACATTTTACCTATCTTAAGAAATAAAAATCATTAGTTATTTTGTGTTTAAATTGAAGTTATTATTTCATGCCAAAAATTCGGGTCTCAGAAACCATAGTACACTGTTATTTCTAATTTATATTAATGACCTCTATAAAACTTCTAATTTAATGACAATAATGTATGCTAATGATACTAATTTTTTCTTATCCCGAAATAACATCAATAACTTATTTAATGACATGAATGTAGAACTAAAGAAAATATCTGACTGGTTTAAATCAAAGAAGCTTTCACTTAATATTGGAAAAACTAAGTGGGTTCTTTTTATTCAGCTTATAAAAAGCATATACTACCAAGTAAAATGCCGCCGCTTTTCATTGATTTTTCATTGATTTTTCATTGATAAAAATACGTTATCAACTTTTTAAATAGATAATATATTTTTATATTTTTAAATTATTACCTATTCCACAAAATAGTTAAGGAATTGTAATCTGAACGACAATATTATTTAGATTACATATTATATATTGACATTACATATATACTGATGAAAACTGATGTAATTTTTCAAGCATTTGTTTGCTTATTTTGTTTGTTTGTTTTTACATAATAATAAATATTGAGAAATATTAAATATATATATTCACATATATTATAAAATATTGTTAAAACTTGCATAACATCTAAAGAGTATAATATATAAACGCATTTAAAAATTGTTTTAGATATTTGTAAATTTATTTATTTATTTTAACTCCTGATATAGATTGTAAAGGGCTTCATGATAAGATCGTGTGATCTTCTGAAAGTCCTACCAGTAATATATTCAATGTAAATTTACCTTGCACATATTATTCTGGAAAAGAAAAAAAAAAAAAAAAAAATAGATTGTTGATAGACCGACACTTAATGTATTCTTTAATCTTATATCAGTGCAATATATCTACACTGATCATTAAAATGGCCACATAAATTTAAATTATAATAGATACACGTAAATACATCCACTCAACCAAAGCATTAAATCAAATAATATTGCATGTCATAATACTATTAAATCACCACTTGCGCCCAACGTTTTTCGTTTTACGCGTATCAAATCTGTCATCATTATAAGAGGAATATAATTACACATTTTGACAAGCACAAAGAAAAATTATTTTCTACTTTTTAGTTCGCTTGAAAAACATTATTTTTAGAAAAATTCATTTTTTTATTGTAGATTATTTATATATAAATATATATATTTTTTAAATATAGATTTTGCATGATGTCAGTTGTAATATAAGCAACACTTTTTCCAGAAAAATTACAACTGATTGATAATGCCTTAAGGTTGATGCCTATCAATAACTGTCAGTTATATATATTTCTTATTAATCAGACTTATTTTATTTGAATTTTACAGTGGGTGCCAAAATTTAGAAGTTTTAAGCACCGTCTAAGAGTTGTGTTTTTTATTGGTTCAGTTATTCATAATGTGTTACCTGCGAGTTACCTTTATTTATTAAAAAAACTTAAAAGGATTGGAAAGTTTGTTTGTATTATTTGAATTTATTTTAGATCAAATTTTGTAACTGCCTGTATAGTTTTCTATTGTTAACTATTGTTTAAAAGTATTTGTTAGTTGGTGTTTTACTAGTTCTTATCTCAATAGATTTGTATGTTAATGAAACGTTTTATTTCAAAATCCAAAATTTAATGGTATAATTAGCAGTGCCAGGTAAAAATTTTCTTTTAATAACCTTATAAAAATTGCATCTAATCTAAATCTGTTAATGTGGATTGTGCTCAGTAGGACATAGACTTTATGGAGTTACACTGCCAGTGCTATAGCACTGGGCTCCATAGTTTTTAAGGCTTTGGTTCATAGAAAAATATATTTTTTTAAAAACTCAAAAGGTTTTGATCCACTACTGCGCATTGCCATAATTTATTATATTTTATTTGTAATCCAGTAATAAATATGTGCAGTGACAGTTTAATGGTGTATTTTTCTGTCATATTTTGTCTAATTAATGGTGTATTTTTCTGTCATATGCCTTCAATCATTCTTCATAAAAAATTGTACATATGAAGGAACCTTGACGTGGTTCATGTGCTTTTAACAAATACCTTCCAAAAAGATACTCTTTTAACCTTTATACTGTGGAGGCGGACAGATACTCGTTCAACCTTTATACTGTGGAGGTGGAGCATCAGCATATATTCTGAATTTAGTTAATACTCAACAAATAGAAGTTTAGCTGTACTATTTGTGTTCAGAGAGTAGTAATATTCAGGTTATAAGAATCATTTTAAAATCAATTTTAGATATTAAAAATATTTTTGTTTACTTTTAGTAGTGTACATTGTGAATTTCAAGAATGAGTTATAAGTATAATTTCAATTCAATTTAAATTTATGAATATTTTTTATTGAAAAAATAAACAAATTTAGTAAGGATTTCTAACGTACATAAAATTTTTTTTTGACTTTGTCATAAAATTTTAGTAAGGATTTATAACGCACATAAATTTTTTTTTTGACTCATAAAACTTTAGCGTGCAAAGTAAATAGGGTGGGACCATAATAAACAAGGTAAAGTGAGAATTTTTTGAAAATATGAATTCGGGTAGATAGGAAAAAGTTTTACAACTAATAAATGATTATGGAGAGTTTCTTTGGCACCCAACATTAGATGTGCATGAAAAGGGATGAGATTGTGACACTGGTTGAGGGAGGGCAGAAATTTACACAAAAAATTCCTCCAAAGGTGATATAAATCTTAGATCCGCCCCTGTTTATACTAAAACTTATTTAAAATTCATAAAACACCGTGGCACCTATCTACTTGCCTTTTTTTTATTTACCAACTAAATGTTAAAATCAGTTACCATATATCATAAAAATCAATTATCAGATATCAGCTTAAATGTGCATCATTCTTTGTAGATGTCAAGAAAATGCGTCATTATATTGGAATAGGTGGCCTATAACTCAACCTAATTTTGAAATGTCGTAAATCGTAGATTATGACGTTTTTGATTTTCAACTGACAATTTTTGATTTTTATATTAACACCTAAATAAAACATGTAATACTAATTTTCCAACCTACTAAATCGTTGAACTACTGAATTTCTAACCTACTGTGTTTTCAATTTTATACGCTTTTCCGGTATGTATTTTGTATATGTTGTTCTTGATTTGAATACGAGCCAAATTTGATCAGCCTAGGCGCAGAGGTTGAAGCTCTGTATTCAGAATCGGGAGGTATAAGGTTCAATGAATGCTTGGAAAACTTATTAATTGTTAATCAAATTTTTTTTTTAAAAAAAAACACAGAGATAATCGGTCGAAAATTAAAATCTATAAAATAAAACGTCAGCGGGTTGAAAATAAGACTATAATCGGTTAAAAACAATATAGGCCTCAGTAGTTTATCTGAGAATTAATTCCACTTTTTAGTAGATGTTCTTTTTGCAGAACAACTTAGTAGGTCGAGATTTTTGTAGACCCAATATGGTGGAATAGATCTTAAAAGTATTTCAAAAAAAGCTCAACAGAACGGCAAAAAAAAAAAAAAGAAGGTAAAAAACTGCTGATTTTAATTTGAAGAAACATTTCAAAATAAACTTTTTTTTTAAAACTGATTTCTTTTTAAATCTGTTAACTTTTTATTCTCAAATATATCGGGCGTTGGAAAAATATTTTTCAGCAAGTGTATTTACAAATCAAATAAACAAATGTTCTCACTCTATTTGTAGGAAGAATTAAAAAATGCAATTGAAAAATCTCATCTGTTTTATCTTATATTACTTTTATGGCAAGATTCTTTCAGAAGGTGTTTGAACTTTAGTTGTCTAATATTCCTTTGATATAAAATTTTTTTAATTAATCAGTTTATAAAAATAATTATTGATTAAAAAAAATAATAAAAGGTTTAAAAAACTCAGAAGACCTCAAAAACATTTGTTTTTACTTTTGCTGTATCACACCAGATTTACAATTAAATAAAACGTGTCTTGCACTTTAACAGCATCTCGAAATTATTTTTAAGCTTGCAAGCGGTTCGAAGACATCTTAAAACTTATGTTTATGGATAGATTTGTTTGTTTTTTTTAACTCCGCACACACATACACACTAAACTAGGTTTGTTCCGATTTTGGCTCTCATTCATAAATATTATTCGCCTTTCTAAATAATTTTTGGAACAAAAAATAAAAACTAATTTATAAAATGTTTTAAGATTTAATCATTGTCAATGAAGAAATAATTCCCATTTTTCTTTTGCTCTTGGTCCTAAAAGTATACAAAACGACAAACTATATTTTATTGCTCTTTTTTTATTGTTGAAAAAAGATATGGTAAAGATAATAATAGAGATAAAAATATGATATATAAATATATAAAAAATAATAATTATAAAACATTAGGACAGTTAAAAGACTTCAAGAAATTAACAAAAATGTTAATATGTTGACAAAAAAAACAACAACAAAAAAAACAAACAACAACAACATAACTGTATATAAATGTTGACAAAAATATTAAATTTAAAAGATTAAAATACTTCAAAAATTGAAAAACAAAAAAAACAACAACCAACAACACATATTACTATAAATACTTCTAATATAGTTTGCTTAACCTAAAGACATACCTTGACGGAAAACATTTTATTAATACGCGGTCTGTAGTTAGCAGGATCTCTTCTGAATGTTATCTCAAGAGACATTAAGAACTTGTTCATACCACTCAGCAACGTTTGAGGAGAGTTTGCAATTGTGCTAATAGAAGGCTGACCTTCGAATACTATTACTCGATCAGCTAAGTAGGTTGCCATTATAAAATCATGCTCTACAACAAAGCCTGTTTTCTTTGCGTGCAGAATAAATCTTAAAACAAATTAAAAAAAAAAAAAAATTCAAGAGCTTGTCATTTAAAAATACAGAACAATATCGGTCATTAAAAAATTGACCTAATTCACCTTTTTATGACTTTTGCTGCGTGTAAACGTTGTTCAGAATCCAAATAGGCAGACGGTTCATCAATCAAATAAACGTCTGCTGGCTAAATGGAAAAAATAAGAGGAAATAATGATTAGAGTAAACAGAGAAATGATACATAGCAAATAGAGAAAAAATGATAAGAATATCACACAGTATTAGGAAAGCATAATAAAATCTAAATAAATTAGACAAAAAATAAAGCAATACATTACAATAATACCTTTCCCAAACACAAAGTGAGGGCAACACGCTGCAATTCACCACCAGACAAATTTTGGACTTCTTGATCAAATAAGCGTTCAATTTGCATAGGTTTAAGAACATCAGTAATAAACTGAGGGTGGATATATGCATCTCTTATTTTAGTATGTAATAACATTCGAACAGTGCCACTAGACTTAGGACTTATTTTCTGTGGTTTGTAGCTAACATTGAGTTGGGGAACAGTCTCTTCATTGTCAGGTGGTAATAACCCAGCCATCATTCTAATAAAAGTAGTTTTACCTGTGCCATTTTCTCCCAGCATGACAATTATCTCAGAATCAGTAAACTGACCTTCGTGCACTTTCAGTTGAAAGTTTTCTAAAACAAACAAAAATTTCTAAAAATATCTAAGAAAAAGTATGAAAAGTAATTTGAAGTAAAGATTAAGACTTACTTAATGTTTTCTCCATATAAGGGTAACAGTATCTACGGGAACGCTTGATTTCTTCATCCTTTATTTTAATTTTTAGTCAAAAAAGAAAAAAAGAAAAGAAATTGAGAGAAAAATATTAGGATTAAAATTTACAGAAATATATTCCAACAAAAACAACAAACAACATGTTTTCGCTACAACAAAACAACACCTCTGCATTTTCAGAAACTTTGAATGTAAGAGATTCCTCTCTAAATCGAAGATTTTCAGTAGGAATGAACCCATCCAAAAAAATATTTATTCCTAAATAAAAAGGTAAGAAAATTTTTATATATAAAAATTTGAAAATATTACAAAGGCATATAGAAGCTTAACAGCATAAAAAATTTTCAAATAAATTTATAATTTTAAAAAGCTCTCTAATGACCTTCTCGGACAGTGAAAGGCATAGTCACAACTCCATAAGCACCTGGTGTTCCATACAATGCACAAATGAAGTCAGAGAGATAATCAAGAACACTTAAATCATGTTCAACCACAATAATATATCTAAAAGAAAATTATTAATTTGAAGTATTGCATAATACTTATTTGAAGAATTGCATAATACTTATTCGAAGTATTGCATGAAATCAGCAAAAACTATTTAGAAACATGTTTTAAGCAAAAACTCGATCAGCCATTCTAAATATTAAAAAATATATATATATATCAAAACATCAAAAAAAATATATCAAAACATCAAAACAAAAACTGAAACTACTATAAAAACTGGGAACTATTAGGAACAATTTTAAAGTGGTAATGAAAAGAAACAACTAACTTTTTCATACATAAAATAATCATAACTAATTATTAGGGTCTATAAATTATTATTCTCTTTTTCTAATAACACGTAACAAAAATTTGATTAATAACTGTAAATAACAAAAAACAAAAACAAATTTGTATTCATCCAACAGAATAGAATCAGTAAAACATTTATTATCAATCAAGCTAGAATGACTGCCAGTTGTGGAGGAAATAAGCAAAGCATAATTTCATAATTTATTCACACATCAATTAAGATAAAATAATTGCCAACTGTGAAAGTTATAACAGTAAAATTCAATCTAAAATTTACTTAAACGCAACAACTGTTTCCCAATGAATGAAATATTAATTTAGATAGTGGAAAATAAGGAAAACAAACTTTGTTCTATAGCAAACTTGTATAAAATCATAGTCATAAAATACATAGTCTGGCCAGTTTAAGAGCGCTATTGTTTATCTTATTGTTAGCTTTTTTTAGAACCCAGCCTACCAATGAGTACACACTTTTTGTAAACAAATGGGCATTAAAAAGAATATTTACAAAAAGATGATTGATTTATCCTTGATTTTTGCAAATACCTTGTCTTAATTCTTGCATATTTGGTTTTGGAACTTCTTGAAGAAGTATAAATGTTTTTCTATTTGAAATATTTACTTCCGATGATGTTTATAACAAAGAATCAAGAAGAAAAGTTTTACTAATTATAAATAAAATTATGTTTAGTTATAATATATTGTAACTAAAATATGATATCCTTTATTAGGCAGAATATAGTAGTTTTTTATTTTTACTAAAGCTCAACTCAAAGAAATCAAATTTTTCTTCTGAAGCAGATGAAAGTCAATATTTAAATATTTACATTAAAAAGTATTAATGTTTAACACAGTTTTGTCTAACCTTATTTCATTTTAAAAAAATATCGAAGCTATTTGATATGTGGCTATATACAGTAGTGGTTATAGAATTAAGGTACCTTACGGTTTTGGGATAAATTTAGTATAACTTTTAATGTGCCTCTTAAATATGCAATCAAATGAATCAAATTAAAATTTTTTGCATATTTTTGTTTAAAAGACGTGATCAAAGCTTATTAAGCTGAAAAATATCAAAGTACTAACAGTGCCATGTTGTGCATTGATGGTGTCCCTGTTCGTACTTTTGGTGTGCATAATTAATAGTAATGAAGCAATTGCTTGGGCTATTAAACAGTGTTCTGAGTACTATCTATGTTTCAAGTCAAGTTTTTTAACAAATTTAAAAAGAATAAAGTAACAAAAACTATAAAACATAAAAAACCACAGTCATAACTAAGTTCGCTAAACATATCATTCACTAATATTTGTGGTCTTCGAAGTAACTTTTCTTCTGTTGAGTCTTATCTCTTGCAAAGTTTATCAGACCTGGTTGCTCTTTGTGAGACTAATTTGAGTTCAGCAATCTCATCGTGTGATCTTAGTGTTGATGGTTATCGTCCTTTAATTCGTAAAGACTTCAATAGCCACATGCTTGGCCTATGCATTTACATTTGTAAGAATTCACCCATTTGTCGGGAAACTAGGTTTGAACCCACAAACTACTCTTTTATGTGCTTTTATTTAGTAACACTTCACTCTATCACCTTTCTCTTTGTTCTATATCACTCTCCTTCATCTCAAGACTGCACTCTTCTTGATGTTATTTCTTATCATATTGACCAAGCCCTGTCTCTTAATCCATTAGCCAATATTGTTGTTACCAGTGACTTTAATGTTCATCACACTGAATCACTTGGGTCTAGTGTCAGTGACTCTGGAGGTATTAAAGCCCAAAACTTTGCTTTTCTCAATATTCAACTCAAATAGTCAACTTTCCAACTCGAATTCTAAACAACCCGAATCATTTACCTTCTCTACTCGACTTATGTCTTATTTCTGATCCTAGTCAGTGCTCAGTTTCTCCACATTCACTCTTAGGTGCTTCCGATCATGGTTTGGTCTCTCTAAAACTATTATCTCATTCTTCTTTATCATCAGAATCCCCCTATCATCTTACAACTACCTTAAAGCTGACTGGGACTCTTTCCGTAATTTTCTTCGTAATGGCCCATGGGTAGAAATCTTTCATCTTCCTGTTGACAAGTGTGCTTCTTACATAACTTCGTGGATTCAGGCTGGCATGGAATCTTTTATTCTCTCTCAACGAATTCAGGTCAAGCCTCACTCTTCTCCATAGTTTTCCTCACATTGTGCTGCTGCAATTGCCAATCGAAACCATTACTTCCATATCTATCAGCAAAACAATTCTCCAGAAAACAGACGTCTGTTTATTACTGCTAGGAACCATTGTAAAAAGGTTTTGTCTAACGCCAAAGCCTGCTATTCTTAGATCATTAAATCTCATATTTCATTACAAAAATTAGGCTCTCGTGACTTCTGGAGAATCTTTAATAGTATCAATAATAAGGGCAAGTCTGTAATTCCACCTCTTTAGTATGGTTCAGACTTTGTCACCTCACCTAAAGACAAAGCTGAATTGTTTGCTAAAAACTTTTCATCAATATTATCTCTTGATTCCACTAGTTGCGTTCTACCTGATATAGCCGTCAAACAGGTTGATTCATTGCTCGACATCCGTATCACTCCAGCTTCTGTATCTAAAGTAATTTCCTGCTTAGACTCTTCTACAGCTTGTGGCCCGGACAACATACCTGTTTTAGCCTTGCAGAAGTGTTCTCCGGAGCTGTCGTCACTGTGAGCCCCATGCTACAGCATGGGGCTCACAGTTACGACATGTAACTTATACTAAATACAATACTGTTGCCGTATCTGGGGCGGATCTTCTAATGATGCCTTTGTTCTTTCAGACAAGGTGCAAAAATCCATTGTAAACATAGTTGGACCTGCACTTGCAGCCAACTTTTAACCTTTGTCACTCGTTGTAATGTTGCTTCTCTTTCTCTTTTCTACAAATACTATAATGGGCACTGCTCTAAAGAGCTAGTGTCTCTTGTGCCATCTACATTCACTCTTGTGTTACTCGTCATTTAATTAAGTCTCATCCTTTTTCTGTTACTGTTCCTAAGTGCTCCAAAAACTCTTATTCCTCTAGTTTTTTTCCTCGAACATTAGTTCTTTGGAATTCCCTTCCTTTATCTTGCTTTCCTGATTCATATAATTTACAATCTTTTAAGTCATCTGTCAATCGTTATCTTGCTCTACAATCTTTATTTAGTGGTTGCTTGCAGCCTTGTTAGAAGCGAAGATGTTTAAAAAAAAAAAAAATAAATCTCCCAAAAATTATTAAACAATTAAAGTAGTTAAACCAATTACTTTATTGATTACATTATATGATATTATTTAAAATAAAAAAATTGTACAACTTTATCGATTTTCACTTTATTATTGCATCTTTCAACTATACTGTAATACAGTTTAAATGCTAAACAATTTTTAGCTACTTTTTCTGCCAACAATTAAGTCAACTTTGCCAACTTTTTGACTTACATATTCTTCGATAAAAAGCACTAAATACGCATCAACCAAAATATTGAACTAAATTTTTTTCTTTTACTGTTTTTTAAATATCATTAGCAAGGTTATATCCTACAAGAGGCGAGGATCTGTGAAAAAAATCCTTTCTAATCTGCAAATATAAATTTTGGATAAAAAAACTTTAATTTCACTATAAATAGTTTTTATAACTTCTGTTTATTAACTTGAATGATAGATTCGTACCATTTTTTAAAAATATGTACTTTGAAAGCTAATCTCTGATATATGAAAGACAGCAAAGATATTTAATAACAATAAGAATGTTTTTTAAAACAAAATTGATGAACTTCTTTGCGATATATACAATAGAATCTTGCGAAAACGGCGCAACTGGATAAACTATCTGTTATTTTGACTATGATATATATGAAACCATTTTAGTGTTCAAATCAACAAAAAACAATTTCAGCTAGTCAATGACACAGGTCTATTGATAGCATTTGGAGAAATCATATTAATTGTTAACAACAAATCATATTCAGCAACAAGTCTACTGAATGTGCCATCAGAAGTAATACAAAGAAGCATTCTTGATCCAATCCTCTTTTTAATCTATGTACTACACATAAATGACAACCTCTCAACAGATATTACACAAAATAAATAAATGCAAAGTTATTTATATTGGCCAAGGTGCAAAAGCCAGTCATAACGTTAAAAGGCAAAGTTCTTGAAGTTGTTAACTCATATAAATACCTTGACATTAACCTCAACTCAAGTCTCAAATATGACAAACAGTTAACTAGCTTATATAATAAAATTGCCCTATCTCTTTAATCTTTACCTCTTATCTCTTATATAATAAAATTATAAGAATATCTCTTTAAGGAACTCTGAATAATTGGTGGACAGTCTCAATAGTATTTTGTTTATATCTGCTTAGAGCGTTTATGACCACAGCTACTTAACCTACAATAGTTGTCCTCACCTCCACGTCCAATAAAAATTAATCAAGAAGCAAATCTTTTAAAACCACTTTCTAAAAGCAGCTAGAATACCAACTGCTTATGATTCTTGTGATGCAACCTACGATGTGTCTTAGCACACTAAACCGAATTTTAAACAAACCAAACCATCCAATCACACTTAGTCTGCTTAAAAACAATCAATCACATTCTACTTTTAAATTAAACACCAGATCAAAAAATCAATAATGTTTTTAGGTTCACAAAAAAATGAATATAAATTCCCATAAGATTAGTTTATAATTTACTTGCTTTTTATTCACACTTAACGACATTAAGTTTTCCACTTTTCCAGTTTGTCGAAATCAATTTTATACCACTAACTAATAAGTTTTTTCTATATCTTATGCATCATTAGGCATTAGTTTTTGACATTACTTTTAATTTCTCTCATAAAAATCCGATAAAAGAGAGATCTTGTGATTGGGGAGGCTAAATCATTCTATTCAATTTTGATTGTTCTAAATTTTTAAAAAATTTATTTCGGATTTAAGTTTTAAGTTATTTTTTTTTAAAAAAAATAAATGGCTTCCCATTAACTTATCTTTTCGAAGGTGTAGCATAATTTCTTAAGTGTACAAGTCTACTACTTTTGCTATTACTCCCTCTATTTTTACCTGTGACATATTAACTAAAACAGACCCACACCTTAACACTACATCCACAATGTTTTACATTTGATAATAAACACTATTTTATATATTCAACAATATTTTTTCCAGACAAACAATCATATCTTGAAACCAAAGATTTAAAACTTTGACAAGTCAAGCATTTTTATTATTCTTATGATTTTTATCAAAGCATTTTAATCAAAATACTTTTAAATTATCTAAAAGTGCAAAAATAAACATAAAAAAATAGCACAAAAAAATAGTTAATGCCATTCAAATATTAATGAATGGTAGTGTGTGTGTGTGTGTGTGTGTATGTGTGTGTATATATATATATATATATATATATATATATATATATATATATATATATATATATATATATATATATATATATATATATATATATATATATATATATATATATATATAAATTCTAATAGCTAACTTAAGTATATTATTAAATATGCTATGGCTTATTTAAAATTTAAATCAAAAGTTAGTTTATATAAATTTTCTGTATCTTTGGTAATTTATACTGTTATTTCAAAAAATTGGTCATAAACAAGGTCAACGCATAGGAGGATGGGGGAGGGAAATTTGACCCTTTCAGACCAGTCAGTCAGCAAATTTCAATAAACAAGTCCTTTTTTTTAACTCCTTCATACACCATGTGAATAAACGTACACAATTCGTTTTGTTCATTTTTCACTCTTAAGCAAAACAATAATTGAAACACGATGTGTTCATTTGTGAACACCAGTCATATTTGATATTTTAATAAAATTAATATTTTAATAAAATTTTATATACCCCATAAGGAGGTCTAGTACATTTGTTTTATCAAAAAAAAATTTTTAAACACATTCTATGTGCCCGTGTACAAAGGGGTTAATGGTCAGTAAATTTTAATGGCACCCCACCCCCACATGACACCTAATTGCACCAACCCTGGTCATAAACTCATTATTTTTGGCTTTAATAATTACTCCTAAATGTTTTTTAAAAATATTTATTCAACTGGACTATGCTGTAATAAAATTTTTATATATTATTCTCATAATTACCTGTACAGAGTTACTAAAACTTACTTATCTGATTTTGAGAGGCTACGAATAGCCTTGGCAGCCTTCAGTCTTTGTTTGACATCCAAATAACTGGAAGGTTCATCAAACATATAACTGAACAATAATAAAAAAATAAACATGAATTTTATTTTGTATTGAAAAAATGCACAATATTCTGAAAAGAAAATTTATGAATTTTTATTATTAAAATATTGAAAGCTTAGACTTAAGTAAGTAAGTGCTTACACATGGGCACTTTGAACACACACCACTGCACATGCAAATCTTTGAAGCTCTCCTCCAGAAAGTTCCTCTACATTTCTTGTAAGAACATGCTGCAAATCAAACTCATCACAGTACAAATCTTTTGTGTTGGTTTCATCTTTTTTGTTTAAAAATTCAATAACGTTTCCCTTTATTTAAAATAATAAGAGTTGTAGTTATAATTAATGCAAGAAGTTTTAAACACCTTTTAATTAAGTAATATATTATGTAAATGAAAAAATACTAAAATACATTTCAATTTTTCAAACGTAACTTCATTTTAACAAATAAAAATGACCAAATCGCATACTTTGATTGCTTTCGGTATTTGATCAACATATTGTGGCTTGATAATTGCCTAAGAAAAACAACAAATTTTTTATGCAATAAACATTTTAGGTACATATAATATACAAATACAATTGATTGCTATTGAAATATAGAAATTTTGATTATATATATTTAACACATTTATTACATTTATTTAACTCATTCAATACCAATAAAACATCTCTAAAACTCTTTAATCCAAGTAACTTCAACAGCAGTTGTTTACAGCCATGTGTAAATTTGTTAATAAATTAATGATTGCTATTACTAATTTAAAAATTGTATACAAAATAATACTATGTTTTTAGCATTAAAAATAGTGACAAAAAACCCCACATCTTATAAGATAGGTGAAACCAACTTTATGTAACCAAAATTATATGGTAGTAATATAGTGGTAGGGCACTTGCTTTGTAAAAGAGAAGTTCAATCTTCATCATATCTCAGGTAGTACCAGATTCAGCTTGTTTTTCTGCACAACAACCAAGTTTTTCAAGATTCGTGTTTCAGAGTTAAAGAGTTAAGAGAGGGTTGTAACCACAGTCAAAATAAAAAAATGAAGTAAAAATTTGGCCTCCTCGACTGTAGTGGCTTGGCCTTGCAGAGGTAAATAACAATAATAATAAAAAAAAAATAGTCAAAATCATAAGTCAAATTAAAAATTGATTTGAAGAAACTGTTTTATTTCATTTTTAAAAAGGTTTTGATTCACAGCATTATTACGAGCACAAACCATTATAATTATATGCTATTATAAACATGTTGCATTTAATGATAAAAAATTAATAGATATAATAAATATATAAGTTATGAGTTAAAAAAAAAAGTTTTTTCAGCATGAATATTATTGTTATAAAGTTTTAAAATCATCTTTTAATAATACTTAAAACAATTTATCTAGGCTTTTATTTAGACTTTTAGTGCTTTTTCTTTCAAGATAAGAAAGTTCTGAATAATAAATAATTTTAAAAAGTAGATAAAAATTTCAACATTTAAGGCAATTAAAAAAATTATAATATATCATTTTAACTAATTTTATAACATAACACTATAGTGCAATACATATTAATGCATTGCATTATAGCGCTACACAACAAGAAACACACACTTTAGGAATAATAAAAAAATAAATTTAACAATACCTATGATATTCTATTTTAAATATTTATAATTATTTTTCTTAATATAAGATTTACATGTTATCCAAAATAAGTTATCATATTAAAAACAAAATGATCAAATAAGCTATAAATATTTATATTATAACGTAATAAAAATATAAATCATGTTCAAAGGTAAAATGATGTCAAATTAAAAAATAACAACAATAAAATAATAGACCTTTAAGTCATCTTCTAAAACTTTAGTAAAATAATTTTGCAGTTCAGAACCACGAAAGTATTGCAAAATTTCTTGCCAATCAGGAGGATTCTAAACATCAACAATTTTATATATATATATATATATATATATATATATATATATATATATATATATATATATATATATATATATATATATATATATATATATGTATATATATATATATATATATATATATATATATATATATATATATATATATATATATATATATATATATATATATATATATATATATATATATATATATATATATATATATATATATATATATATATATATATATATATATATATATTAAAGCCACTTTACAAATTTTTATAAACAAATAAATTTTTTAGAAACTTAACTTTTCCATCGAAATTGTTCAGCAAAAGAAAAAAAATATATGGCGTGTAAAAATTTGTAATCATAAAAATTTATTTATTTATTATCTTGCAAGTGCAAGAATATTTTTTTAGACAATTTCTCATTACAAAAAATATAACAATAATTACCGAATTTAAAATAAAATAAAAAACAAACAAAAAATTATAAGCTAAAAAGTAATACATGTTAAATCTTATATTAGCACTACTTTTGATATTTTAATATTTTCGTTTTTGATTTGTTATAAAGATTGATTTTATCAACAACAACAACAAAAAAAAAAAACAAGGTTTTTCTAAATATATATATTTATAACAAAACTTATTATAGAAAAAGAAGTGCAAACACAATCATTAATTTTAAATTTATTTATAAATCATTCATTCATTTATTTACAATTTGCAGCAAAACTTACGAAAAAACAAATAAAAGTAAAATAAAACAAATTTACTAAGTACAATTTTAAGTACAAGTTAAATACAGAAATTATTATCAAAATAATATATTAAATATTTTAACTAAAATAAGAACTTTACTCATTTATGAAAAAGGATTTTCTGCATTGGTAAAATAGGGGCTGATGCAGGATTTTTTATGGGTGATACCTATTTTTCAATACAACCCCCTCTAGACAATAAAGAGAGTAAAAAGGTGCAGGAGGATGGGAATTAAAAGACGAGGGAGAAGTGAATGCAATCTTTTACAGCTAATGGGGCAAAATAGTCTGTCGACTTATTACTTATTGATTTTAGTTACTTATCTAAAATTAGCTAATTAAAAATGATGTCTTAGCTTTTCTGTTATAAATTAGACATTTAATACTTGTCTAACTCACTTAACAAAGTGCAATAAAAAAAAGTAAGGAATAGAACATAGCACTCTATTTGATATTTGTCATGTTGTCTAAAGTTAGCCCTCCATTTCTGATATATATATATATATATATATATATATATATATATATATATATATATATATATATATATATATATATATATATATATATATATATATATATACATACATACATATGAATTTTGCATCACACAAAATGTTATTGATATCATTCTAAAATAACCATTTGCAAGAACTTCAAAAGATGTTAACTGAGGTTTTAGGCAGACATCTACATATAACATTTACCATAAAAAAAAAGAAGACTTTTTTTCATCTTTTTCGCCATGGTCTAATAAAGTGTTTGGCTTGAAGTTTGGATTCAAAAAAATAAAGTAAGGAAATTATATTAGTATAATGTGCTGATCTAAATCTGTTGTAGTAGATACATATATAAATATATCTCATCAACAATGTTTTTGTGCACAGCAAAAGCAACGTATACTGCCTGTGTACATACATACATACATTATATTTACATACAATGTATAAAGCCTGTATACATACATACAACCCTCGAAATTAAAAAAAGGTCAGCAATAAATCGCCAACTGTAAACTGTTAGAGGTCTGCATAAGGTCAGTAAAAAAAAGACACAAAGGGGTCACCATAAAACATAGAAATGAGATTGCAAATTTTTTGCCAACCTCTTACAATTTTAGGTCGGCAGTTTGGTTGACATTTCAAGGGTTGTACATACATATGTATGCACAGTGTTAATATATATGCATGTGCGTGTACATTGTACACACACATATTTTTAAACATAATATAATATAGTTGTATATTTATAATAAAAACATACAGAAAATCTTCCAAGATTTGGTTTCAATTTTCCTGCAAGAATTTTAAGAGCAGTAGATTTACCAATACCATTGGTACCAACTAAACCCAACACTTCTCCTGGACGTGGCATTGGTAGCCTAAATAAAATATTGTATTGTAACTAAGAATAGAAATATTTATAACTATAAAATTTAAAAGAAACTCTGTAATTTTAAAAAACAATACCTGTGTAATTTAAAAGAATTAGCATTGTATCTGTGTGTTGTATCTTTTTCTAAATTACTTGGCAAATTGATAATAGTAATAGCTTCGAATGGACATTTCTAAAAACAAAGAAAAAACATAAGTATAATAAAAACAAACAATATCATATAAAAGATATTTTTTATAATATTATTTACTTTTATCTAAACTGCAAATAAAGTGTAATTCTGGGCAAAGCGATATCACACTGGGTGCCAATTTCTAGCGGTGTTTCTCAAGAGTTAGTATTGGAACTAGGGCTTGGTAAAAACCGGAAAATTTCAAAAACCTGTTTTTAATTTTTTTAAATTGTAGAACAGGATAATCAGTTTTACACCGGTTTATTGTAAAATCAATTTTTTTATTATTGTCATATAAATCAAATGTAACCTACAGGATTGATATATTGGAATTAGATATGTAAACTAAAAGAAAGTTTTTCATACTTAAGCTAAAATAAAAAAAATTTAATTTTTTTTTCATTAATTATTAAACATTAACTTTTATCAATGTACAGTAACATTTACATCTTTTTTATTCATTATTAATTTAGATTGAATTTAATGAACTTTTCATTTTTTCTATTAAGTCTCTTTTTTCTTTTCTAATCCTCCTTTTTTTGCTGCAACTTAATAACTTTTTTTCTTTTTTTTTTTTTGAAACTGAGTAACTAAGTAGTTTTAACTAAAAATTATGTATGTGATCTGTTTATAAAAGTGTAATGTAAAATATATTACAATTTATAATACTTAAAGTGATACCTAAGTCAAAATTACAAAAACAATTTTTTGTTGACAAAAAACTTGTTTTTGTTTAATTTTTTTTTTTCTTCAGTGAACAATGTTAGTCATGATACATAATAACATAAAAGTCTTTTAAAAAAATAAGCAATTTAGCATACTAACAATATAAAGCTAGGTTTCAGAAAATAGATTATAAGGATCTTATCACCAGAACCTTAAAAAGTAAACATTTATTTGTAATATATAGATATATTAAAGATTTAACATAATCAAAGATAGAACATACTAACATTTTAATATATAATATGCTGAAGATTTAACAAATACATTTTACATAGGATTTTAGTAGAATTTTTAAATGTTTTCCAAAGAAAGAATATTTATAAATTTAGTTTTAAAAACAGGAAGAGTATAAGAAGGTTCAAATTTAGGGAATACTATTTGGGAATACACAATATTTATGTTTTCCACATTACTTGTTAGCTTTTCAAAACAAGCTTTTTTAAACTATTTATCTATTCAGTAATGTATAACAGCCATTTAAAAAAAAAAAAAAAAAAAAAACAACCAGTTTTTGGTTTCGAGAAAACTGAACAAAAAACGAGTTAACCGGTTGCCAAGTTTCTAATTGGAACCAATACTCTTTGTGATTTTTGTAAATGACCTGCTGAATATGATTAGGTCAATCTGTAAATTATTTTCTAATGACACTTGACTGCTTACCATAATTCAACTTAGTGAAGAACAGAATGTACTCCAAAATGACATTGATGCTAATTATATATATATATATATATATATATATATATATATATATATATATATTTAATATGTAAGTTGATCAACTTACATATTAAATATATATATATATATATATATATATCGTATAACAAGAAATGACTTTTAAAGATATATATATATATATATATATATATATATATATATATATATATATATATATATATATATATATATATATATATTCCATTATTTACCAGCCAATAAAAGGTGAAATAAAGCTTGAGTTGATATTACTAAAAGATGTTTTAATAAAATTAAAAAGATATCTGAAAAATGGTCAAAATGATGATGGCAATTTAACCCCATTTTCAACCAGAAATTATTTTATTGTGTTATTTTAAAGAGACTTTTTTGGTATTATGATTTTATATATTCAGTAGTATGAAATAATAAACTTATTGTGTTCAGCATCCAGGTCAGAACAAAATTTTGTAAAAAGCCTGGCTGAGAGCAGAAAACTTTTTACAAACTTTATTCTGTTTTTGAAATTTTGTAAAGAGTCTCTCTTGACAGCAGAAGATTGTTATGATTAACCAGTTTGACTAACTGTTTAAATACAACTTTATATGTACCTAGTAAAGTTTTAGTTACCAATGCCTGTCTATAAATCAAACACAAATTTCACCTAAGCCTGCAATCCAGACTTAGGGGCCACAAATTACAACACACGATAGCAGGCTTGGTCGGGAAGTGGGAGCGATCGCTCTCGAATACTGATCACGGAAATTATATTTAGTTGCGAAAAACTGGCCAGGTTTTTTAGTCGTTTTGAGAACATTTAAGTTTATGTACAAAACAAAATATTTTTGTTTTACAGACATACATGGAAACATAAAAAACTTGAATGTTCTCAAAACATCTTTGTGCAAAAGAATAAAAAAAATATTTGCGAACACTAAAAACCCGCCAAATTAATGAACAAACTAATACTATTGGTTCTAGAAATAAAGTTCTAGAGTATTCTGTTGAAATGTTTTAGAAATTCTTATTTTTTATTTTAAAAGAGATTGTATTCTTTATGTAAATGTAATTTTGTGTATTTGTTTTTTATCGTAATGTATCTTTTAAAGCAATTTTTATGATTTAAACAAAGACTTACAAAAATAATTGCGTTTTCAGTAAAGTTATAATCGTTAAAGTTAATAAAACTAATTATGTAACAAACATATAAGAAGTTTCTGGTTACTAAACACAAACAGCGCATACAAAGTAACTCGCGGATGAACAAGCACCGCGCCTGAGGTCACGACAGAACACAAATATATATATATAGCAAATAATTAGATATAAAGAAAAGATTTCAAAGTTAAGGTTTTTCTAGATTTAAAACTAAAAAAAAGTGACATTTTTTTTAGTTTTAAATCTAGAAAAACCTTAATTTTGATTAAGAGTGCTTAGCCTAAAACATAAATCCTCAGCGGTTGTATGTACACTTAACTGTGGTTAATATAATTAATTAACATTAAAATCTGAAAAAAAAACTTTTATAGGAGGAGTTAAAACCACACCCTTGTATATGCACCTCAGTACATGAATGCTTAATTGACCACAGCTCTAAGCCAATGCATAAGTGACTCTTAAAATTAAAATATATAAAAATAATTTGCTCACTGATAATATTTTTACGGTGGGCTAATTATTTGTATATTAAAGAAAGAAAACAAAAATTCTTTCTAGAATTATGAATACCTAAGAAATACATTTAACCTTTAGACTGCGTGATAAAATAAAAAAATGTTTAGAAAAATTTAACAAAAATATTTTTTAGAAAAATTCAACAAATAAAAAAAAAAATAAAAAAAATAAAAAAAAAAAGATCACTCGTTTTTACAGTAAAACATATATAAATAATATATCAAACAAAAGAAAAAATATGCACTATTTAGTGGTACTATTTATTAAATTACTTAAATTATTTAAATTACTAAAATTGATATTCAGTGTTTAGTGTCACAGTTTTGAAAATCGCTTAATAAACCACAATCGTGATTTGCCTCACCTTATTGGAAAAGCCGCGATTGTCAAACCCTATGATTGCAGTCAAAGGTTAACTAAGAACTGTGAACTCATTTAATTGTATAGAAAAACATGGTAATTCTTTAATTTCATTATTAAATTTTTTTTAACGTTTGATGAAATGTCAGTTAGCCTTAAACTGTACTATTTGATAAAAATATATATTCTATCTTCTTTATATGTTTTATCTCTAAATAATAATTTAACTATTTCTTTTGTACATGAAAGTAAAACTTTTTTAGCCAATGTGTGAGATTTTTTGTTCTGTGCGATTATAATGAAACCTTATTGAGTTAAATAAGTAATCTCAGTTTTATTCAATTTAATTCTCTTCAGTAATTCAAATGTTCTTTTGAAAAAGTCTTAGTGAATAGCATGCTTTGAAGGTTTCATAGATTGATTTTCTAGAACATTATAACAAATAACACACGTGTCACATATAAAACATGCATGTGTTACTTGTTACTGCACGTGTTATTTGTTACTGCATGTGTTACTTGTTATGCGTTACTTAACAAGTAACACTGCATGTGTTATTTAACAAGTCAGACATGCAATACTGTATGTGTTACTTGTTATGATGTATTAGGAGATATAAAAAATGGTTTCTTTAAGCATGCAGGTAAAATCATATCTCATATATTCCTTGAAATAACTTTTTTTTTACCTGTATATTTAGACATCTAAACATTAAAATTATTAATATAAAAAGTCACTAATGTAAACATTTATCTAGAGATAAGAGCTGTATATAGCATAAATTACATTTTTTCAACTAAATCAGTTTAAATCAACTAAATCAGTTTAAATCAACCAAATCAGTTTAAATCAACCAAATCAACATCAAAGTTTATGGATGAAATATTATTACAAAGCGCTTATTACTTCATAGTGGTCCTGTTCTATTTCAATAGATGTTCAGTTAACCAGTTAATTGATTGGCATATTTCAGATTCTAGTGTATCTGAAATACGCTACTGAGTTTAATGTTTAACATAGATTTTGAATAACAATTTTTAAGCATAAATTACATTATTAATTTAAGCTTCAAAAAAAATTTTTTTTAAACAAAAAATATTTAAATTTAAATTCAATAACAGAAAAAATATTAAGAATTTACATTTACTTTGTGATCCATTTAGAAATTATTTTAGAAAAATAAAATAAAACCAGGAATATTTATGGGTTTGGTCAAATTAATTAGAAATAAAATTAGAAAAAAAAAAAAAAACTTAAAAAACTTAAAAACAGTCTCCAGAATTAAAACAATAAAGAAAAAAAGCAAGGTGGTGAGTAAAGTGGTGAAAAAGGACAAAAAACTATAATTAGAGAACTTAATTCTATAAAAAAAACTAGAATTAAAACCATAACTGTTTGTTTCATAACAAACAGGTGAATTGATGCATGACCAGACCAAACTGTTAATACTGGACATTTGCCAACTTAAGGATGATAGCCATTACACTAATTTGAGAAGATTAAAGTTTTTCAAGGATTATGTAGATTTGCTGAATTTTGCAAGAGATAAGATTTAACACATGAAAAGTTATTTCAAAGACTACCAATAAAGATTTTTAGAGAATGAAACTTTTTTATTTTTAATAATTTAATTTTAATAATTTTTATGTTCATAAAGATTGGAAAAATTATAACTTTCACATTCTATATTGAAAAAAATTAAAAAGATTCAAAATTCTATAAACTGAGAAATTAACCTAATCTGAGAGTTTAACTAATTATATAAAAAAAGGTCTTTTGTGCCAGTCTAGTTGCTGTCTCAATAGAAGCAAAAGTCATTAGAATTATTTAAAACTTTTAGTGTGAACTATCTTTACTACTAGAAAAGTTTGTATAAACCACCTCAAAATATTGAAAACTTCTGGAGATAACACATTTTGAAATATGACATTTTTTTTTTTTAATGACCTGGTTTCTACAATGTTGGAAATTGTTTTTATCCAATTACTTTAATTAATTAGATAAAACCAATTTAGTTTTTTAGATAAGGAATTTTAAAATCAACACGATAAAACCATAAAACTTTGCATTTTTTTTTTGGTTAGGTTCATTATTCTATGTTTCAGGTGGAGATTCTAACCATCTAAAAAGGATCTTTTTAATAATATTAGTCAATAAATGCGACCGAACATACTCAACAAATTTTAAACTTTCATCAACTTTTACAGCCTCAACTTTTTAGATCTAAAAATTTCAGGTAAATTTTTTAAGAACATATACTTTACTTGTAATCAAGACTACAATTAAATAAACAAAAAATAACCGTTTCCTCAGCAAGAAAATAACTGTGATGTAAAATTGTGATGATTTGATATAAAAGCTTAAGAAACAATAATGTTAAAGTTTTTATACTTCCAAAGAAAATAGTACTTTTTTTGAGGTTTAAATTTTAATGATTACTTGAGCAAACCTTATTACAAAAATTTATAAATGGTAGATACCAAATAAAACTGATATCCTTTTTTCAAACAATAACAATAACATATTGATAGTTGTTTAATTCCATAACTACAATTATAGTAAACTCAACACCATGGAAACTTAGATAGCTGATCTATAATTTGAGGTTTTAGCATAAAAGTTTGGAATCTTGAGTAAACAAATTTTGATATTTTTGCTTTTTGTTTTAGTAATTGCATTAAATGCATGTAATAATGCATATAATAAGTGCATGTAATAAGTGTTGTTAAGAATATTTTCTCACAAAGAAGTTCTAACAAAGACCACTCTAAAAGCTGATGTAACCATTATTAAAACTAGTGTTATGTGCTTTTTTTAGCAGCGTAAAATCTATATATAATCCTCTATAGTAGTTAAATTTACATAGATTATACTGCTTTATATTACTGTATTTAATATTATTATTATTATAAATTATTACTGTCATATAATATATATATATATATATATATATATATATATATATATATATATATATATATATATATTTCTATTATTATTAATAATATTTATTATTATCATTTACTATTATTATTATTATTTTAACTATTAATTACTAATATTATACCATAATTTATACCATCATAGGTCTTTACATGTCATCAGTTTATAAGTGTTTGTAAATGTCCCGCACAATTGTATATATATACAGTATTATTAAAGTGAAAATATATTGATTTGATTTTGATTTATAAAACTCAAATATTTATAGAACTTCATATTTTTTTAGTATTAAAATATGCCAATGCTTGATCATAATGATTATTTAATATTAACTAAGTTATAAGATCAAAATAACTATTTAATTTTAATATAATTACCTTCACACAAATACCACAACCAATACAAAGCTGCTCCGATATGTATGCAAGTTTAGAAGTTGGAACAACTTCAATGCAAAGTTTTCCTTAGAAAAAAATTAGTCTTCACAATAAATAAATAAAACAATTAATTGATACTACATTGTATACAATATTCAACAAATATTTTTTTAAATATGAATAAATATTTTACAAATAAAATTTTTGTTGTTAATTTTAAAAATGTATTAAAAATATAGTTTTTAAGGAGAAAAATAAAATAAATATTAAGGCAGAAAATAAACACTAATAATAATATAAAAATTTTAATACTGCGAGTAAAGAAAGTTTAATTTTTACCTTGCCGAACAACAGGACAAGATCGCTTACATTCTTGTCGACATTTTTTTGGTTTACAACGATCTGAATTGACAATAGCAATACGTGTTAACTTATCTTGAGTAGAAGTATTACTCATCTTGCTTAAACTTTAGACTACTTGTGTTATTTACCTAATTGCTAGACTTAATCATAATAATTAGCAACTTCTATTCTTAACACACATTTCGACGGCAGCCATTTCTAAAGAGAAATAAAATCTTCCATAAACAAATACCAGGGCCAGAAATATGAAACACGAGTGAGGAAAAAATTCAGAAACATATTTTAAACCCATTTAAGTTATAAATGTATTCTTTTAAACAACATTTTAAGCAAAATATTTATACCGTAAGCGTGAATTGGATTAATATCTAGACAACCTGTGTCAAAATAAAATAAGGTTTGAATAATAATTTTAAAAATATTTTTATAAAGAGAAGTTAAAATTTGCATATTTCTGGTCCACTAAATCGACTAAAAAACACGTGGAATTGTTAATAAATTGAATTTAAAAAAGTTTAATGGTACGAATGAAAAATATCAAGCATTTAATGTTGCCCTACATTTTTCAAGTCACATGTTTTTTTAAAAAAAAGCCTTTGCATCACTCTCCATCATACAATTGAATTAAACATATAACTTTTTATTTGCTTCCCCTGGAGAAATAAGAACTGATTATTGACTTATTTAAAGAAATAAATACAACAACTTTATAAAATATGAAACTTTTTTTTCTTTAAAACAGAAAAACTTTTTCTTGTCAACTGATTTTTCAATTTCTAGTTTATTAGTTTATTATTTTTTGAAAATTTTAATTTCCAAACTTTATTTTGTATATCTCTATAGCCTTGTGTCAATTAGAGATTCATCGCGTTGGTTTGACAAGAAAAGTTTTTTTTTATATTAGGAAATTATTTTTTAAAAAATTCAGTTATAATGAAAATTTAAGTTATGGAATCTTTACAACTTTTAATATTTTTGAACGAACATGAACAAAAAAAAATTTACAACGTCTATTGAAAAACTTTGATTGTCAATTTTATAAAGGAAAAAGATCGTTAAGAATATTAGGTTAAAGATCGTTAAAAATATTGGTTAAGTGCCATTTTTTTAATTTATTTTTTTCTCCAGTTTTATAAAAACGTCTTTTCGAACTAAACTTAACGTTAAGTTCAAAATCTATTCAATATTTAATTTTTTTGTTTTTATTTCATTATTGGTATTGTAATTTTTATTTTACATTTGATCAATACTTCCTAATTAAAGTGTCATTTTTTTTTTGTCCGTACTTCCTTTTACAACTTTCTAAAATGTACAGATAGGTTATGAAGGCCATTAACACAGTTTAGTCATGACCCAACTGGCACAGAACGACCGCTGGACATTATAAGGATAATCTTAAGGACCTGTAATGCCTATAATATACCGCATAGTCGTCCCAAGGACGTTTGTGTCTGCTAGGGAGTTTACACACAGATACATAACTACACACAAAAATACAAAAATAGCATTTGTGCAATTCTGAGCGTTATCTATTTGACGTTCAGAGCATATTTTACCAATTTCCTCAATTAAAATAATATTTTTAACCCATTTAATATTTTTTTATTGATAATACTTGCTGCTTATTAAAACCTAAAAAGATGGTTTAAAAGAATTTTTAAAGGATGCCAAAATATTAAAAACTTTTCTTAGCAATACAATTTTATCGATAATGCAGGCTAATTGGAAACAAATCTAGAAAAATAATTTTAAAACAAAATATATATATTTTTTTTATGTAACTATTTGTGTAATTAAAAAAAAAAAGTTCTAAAAATATTTTTTGAACTAATAAATACTTTTTTTATATAAAAACTCGTCAAATACATGAGGTCTAAGGCATAACACGATTTTCTTAAAGTTTTGACTTTATTTTTTGCAATTTACAAGCAAAATACTTAAATTTATAACAATTTCATTTTGAAATTACATTGACGAAAAATTGTCCTGGAGGTATCATTTCGATGCTACTTCCACAAAAATGGCAAAATGCATCGGAATTCTTTATAAAGCAAAAAATATATTAAGTAAACATCAGTTAACACAATTGTATTATTCATTGTCATATGAACTATGCAAATAGTATATGGGGAAGCACCCATAAGACAAAGCTTAAATCTCTTTACCTTCGTCAGAAACACGCAGTTCGCGTAATAAATTTTAAAAATCGGTTTTCTCACGCAAAACAACTTTTTAAAGAAATGAATATTTTGAATGTGTACCAACTAAATGTTTTTAATATTTTGTGCTTTATGTTTAAATGTAGAGAAAATCTGTTACCAACTGTATTTTAAAATGTTTATAATAATATATAATATTATAATATTATAAATATTCATTTCTTTAAAAAAACAGCGTATTTAAAGCATACAATACTTGACACAGAAAATTAATTATAGTTCACCCAGTTTTGCTCGTTTCTTAGTCTAAATAAATAATTTAGACATACCTTTCCCTCGGTTTCTTACCACCTTTCTGCATAAATTTGACAATTTTTCGGTTCCTGTTACATCATGAGAAACCGTAGCGCAGTGATTGGATTGCGGACTTCAATTTAAGTTTTTCGAGGTTCGAGGTTTGATGCCCTATTCGCGGGTCAATAAAGAAGGAGAAAACGGTTTACAAACAAGAAAATATGATAATTACAAATTAATTACTTTATTTTTTGCAACAAATTTTTTGTTTTATAAATGTTGACAAAGACTTTAAACTTTGAAATAAAAATAATACAAAAATCAAATATTTGCTACAAATAAGAGTTGCCATCATATATTATTGTCAATTATAAATAAAATACAATTATTACTCTTTTTAATTCTGATTAGGTAAGTAATGAATGATTATTTTTGTCTAGTGAATTGAACTTATGCAAATCAATTTCTGAATGAATAAAAATAAATAAATAATAAATTCAAAAAAAATAAAATTGTATTTTAAAGTAAATAAATTAACCTTAATATTTTAACATATAATTAAAACGGAAAAATTGGAGACCAACAAGGATCAGAGTTTGATTATCTCTTTCCCCTTCCTCTCCAAACACACACTTTTTTGCTAGCAGACCATTACAATCCAACTCCTATCCCATATTGTTGCGTTAACTTCTGATGATCAATTTCAAATGACTAAATAATTAAAAACAAAAATAAACATAAATTAGAAAATTTATTTCTAGATCTTAAATTAATTAAAAACTTTCATATTAGCAAGTTAAATATGTTAAGATCTAATCGGAACTTAGCAATAACTAACTAACTGAGAACCATCACTAGGTAGGGATAAAACTATGTTATGAGGCTTTTTAAAAACCCTTTTTAAATATTTTTTTTTAAACGTATTTTTTAAACAAATACAATTTTGATCTCATTTAATGATTTTAAACAGTTTTTTGTGATCTTTGAAACGACCGCCTTCTTTTCCGATATTCATAATGACCAGAGCAAATGACGGCCATACATGGAAAAGATAACTGTTTATTGACATACAAGATATCAACTATAGTATTATAAATCCAACAACGCCTAAGACAGACAATGGCCAGAGCAGATGATGGTCATGTATGACCAAAGCAGGCCATGTGCGCACCATTAGTAAAAAAGGCAGTTTTATCACAGAACACACAAATTTTTATATTGTTAACTTTACCAAGAAATAATTAGTCTAACGACTTATCTTAAGTTACCTTATTTTATCGATAAAGTAATTGCATACCAAAGTACTAACCGCGCAATGAGTTAGCTGAGACCGAATCGCAACTCCAGTTACACAGCGTTTCCAGGTCTTAACATTTTTTTAATTTTTTTAAAATGCGATTTTACAACATATTATTCACAGTTACAATTTATAGTGTTAATCAAATATATCTTTATGCAATATCTTTACACTCCAATCTTTATAAAAGAATATTTCCACACTTCTTAGCTAATTAAAGTGCAGTCACTAAATCTTGAAAATCTTATTATGAAAAAATATGAGATCTTTTCATAAAACTTTAAAATGGAATTAATTTTTATCTCTTGCTTTGTTTTTGAGTTTACTTTGTGTGTGTGTGTGTGTGCGTGCGTGTGTGTGTGTGTGTGTGTGTGTGTGTGTGTGTGTGTGTATGTGTGTGTATGTTAGAATCTTTTTTTTTTGAATGGTTATAAACGATTTACATACTTTTGTCAGTATGTAAATCGTTTACAACCTCTCCGATTGCAAGTCCCCAATTTTTTCAAACACGTTTTGGGATTCATTTAAGCATTACAAGGAAAACAGCTAAGCTGTGAAAGATTTTATATACAACACACTGGATTCAGTCTAAAGTTTTTGATGAAAATATAATATTTTGAGCCTGTTGTGTCACTAACATTTTTTTGTAACTTATATTTTAGTAAGAATAATTTAACCCATATTTTTTTAGCAAGATTTAAAAAAAAAAGTACTTTAAAAACCGAAGAAAAACCTTAATACCAAATATACTTATACATATCATATTAAAGAATGTCAATTTTAAATTTATTTAAATTTTTTAACAAATAATTCAATTCTTATCACTTAGATGTGTCACTACACTGAAAAAAAGAGGTAGAAATAACCTTAAGGTATATCACATATCTTACCTTTAAGGGTATATAACATATCCTATCCCTTAAGGAAGAGTATTGCACCATTAAAAGTAAAACATTATACCCTTAGGGTAGCAAATTACACCACATATGAACATTTTTTTGTACAACGCCTCACCTTAAAGGTATAACTTTCTACCTTAAAGGGGAAGGATCTGTGATATACCTTAAAGGTAGTAATTTATATCTTTTTTTAGTGAGTAAAAGTTACTCTTACCTCGTTGCTACAGTTTGCCTTTAGTAATGGCAGTTAGAAATGAAATTTTATTTTACCATTAGTAATGAAATCGGATTTTTTTTTTGCCAGAGAATTAGCTAGTAGTTGTTTTAAATGGAAAGATTAGAAAGATGAGAGATTAGAATCTTTTTTAGTGATTACTTTTACTTTTTTACTTACTTTTAGATAACCACCATCAGGTAACCACCATCAGGTAACCACTATCAGGTAACCAATATCAGGTAACCACCATCAAAACTTCACAATTTAAGAAAGGTTTCAGGTTTCAGTTACTTGTTGTGCTATACACACAAAAACCATTCTCAACTTGTTATCTCTTTAATCGTTTGAAGTTTGCAAAAAAA